TTAATGGTTTTTTACGAAATTTACAAAATTTAGAGTCTTTTTTTATCAAATTTTTCAGAATTTTAGGGTCTTTTTTATAAAATTTCTTTAACCAAAACTGTGGATCCAAAATTGGGCCATGTGCAATTGCTCTAGTTGCAACCCCATTGAACTGGGCCTGGTTGAACTATTAAGCATACAAACCGATGCCACTATTAACAATGGAAATAGTGGTGGTCTGGTGCTTATGGAAGACAAAGTCGTTGGTATGGCATCATCTTCTTCAAAGATTAAGCGAGTTAAAATTATAATCTTGGATATTTCTTTTGTAAAATTAAAACTAAGGATCCATATATATTTATAATTTTTTTTCTTGAGATTGCAATCAAGAAAAACATGTGTTTGGCAATTAGAATAGTAGTAGTTTAAAGATAAGAATTAATTAATTAGAAAATGATGAGAAAAATCATGGTGATGACACCTAAACAAGATGACTCAAATTAACTCTATTGCCAAACACATTCTTATTTATAAACTACTACTATTCTAATTGTCAAACACATGTTTTAGCCATTTATTTTTGAGATGACTCAAATTAACTCTATTGTCGAACACATGTAAAGTATGTATTAGTATTAATTGAATCGATCAAAACAATTGGAAAGAAATGTAGATTAAATCATTGGTAAATAGTGTTTTAACTATGATCTTAACAAAAAAAAAAAAACCATTAGAAAAACAATACAATTGAAGTCCTTTATATACATGATTCAATTTGAAGAAAACAACTCAAAAATTTTATAAGTAACTATTATCATTGATTTTTCAAAATTCTTCTTTTTTATAGAAATTATATCACCAAAATTTAATATACTCAGCTTCATCTAACTAACTTACAGAAATTTTTTGTAATATATCGTCACAAATAAAAAATCGTTTTGGTTGATCTGTAAACCTCCAAATGATCTTCCATTTGAAAGTGATAGAAAAGCAAACAATAAATGAGTTTTTTGAAAAAGTGTAAACAATATCATTAACTAATTGATGTTTTTTTTCTTTCTAAATTTGATAAATTGGATCTAGAAAGGAAACCATATAAGTTGGAACAAATGATATGTCAATTATGTGAATATATTGTTTTTAAAATTTTGATTCAATTCAATTACGTGAAATTTTTGTTTAAATTTTGAATCGATATTAGTTTTTCTTTTTTGGGTTAAAAATCAGTATTAATTAAATTCAGAAAATTTCTCTTAAATAATTTTTTTTTGTTCTGTTTTCGGATATATACACAATCTTCCATATACACAATCCATTTTTGTATCTTTGAGTTATAAATCGTATCTTTAATGATTATGATATAAATTCATCATATCTTTAATGCTTATGATATACATTCAGTGCATTTTATTGATTAAATGTTATATATAATAAAGTTTCACAGAAATTTAAAGAAATAAATATACATAAATTTTTAAAAATATTTGATGTATCACTAATTATGATTGGTCTTATGATGTGTATGATTTTTTTATTGAATAAAAGTTAAAAATATGTTATTTTCAGTTATTTTACATGTGGAACACATTTCTATACAAAATGATGTCAAAATTCAAAAATAAAACGGGTTTTCAGTTTTGTTTAATAATTTTCCTAATAACTATAATTGGATTTTTAATTAAAAATACATTGATTTACTTGATAGTCATTTTATCCCGCGTTAATTTACCTAGTCTACATTGAACCGAGTTGAAATAAATTAGGTACTTTCAACCAAAATAAACTTGAGAAATTTAAAAAATGCCACTTTTCAAGTGCTACTTTACAAAAATGTCACACTTTTGGAATCTTTACAAAAATTTCACTTTTTCAAAATTATTTTTTCTTTATATTATTTATGTTTGGGTTAATTATGTTCTATTATGGTTTAGTTTTGAGTGTTTAGGGGGTTTTAGGTGTTAAAACAGTTTTAAAGATTTAGAATTTTTAGATATAGGTTTTATAAATCTATAATTAGTGGCATTTTTGTAAATGGACACCCCTAAGTGGCATTCTTGCAAATGTGCACACAAAAAGTGATATTTTTTTTTGTAATTGCCCCAATAAACTTATGAAATTAATAAAAGTAAACAAAACCATAATTGATACAATGAATGAATGATATATATATATATACCGTATAATAATCATAACCACTCCAAATAACCTAGCCGCTCAAAATGTCATTCATGTCTATTCGTATTGTGACCAGGTTCTGCAACTCCTCCAAG